CCCACATGAGGGGACGGCGCCTCAGGGAGGGGAAGGGGCCGGGAGCAGAAGGGATGGAGGGCGGAGGGACAGCAGCAGCTGCAGGGAACGAGCAGCCCCCGGTCACATGGATGGGGACAGGGAAACCGGGAATGGGCAGCGGGGCGCGGTGCGGTGACAGCTCCGAGGTGACCCTGGAAAGGCCACTCGGCTTGAGGTGACCGGTTCGCCATAGATTGACAGGAGGCCGTGGAGAAGGGTTTGGCAGTTTAGCCATGGGCACAGTGAATCCCAGAATAAATTACCTTGGAAAACCCCTCCAAGACCATCGAGTCCCAGCTGTGCCCGATGCTCACCTTGTCCCCAGCCCAGAGCACCGAGTGCCACCTCCAGGAATTCCTGGGACACCTCCAGGGTTGGGCACTCCAAACCTCCCTGGGCAAACCCTGCCGAGGCCTGACCACGCTTTCCATAGAGAAATTCCTGCTGGTGTCCAGCCTGAGCCTCCCCTGGCCCAGCTTGAGGCCGTTTCCCCTGGTCCCTTTGCTGGTGTCCTGTGAGCTGTGTTGGATCACCCCTGGCTGAGCCGGTGCCCTTGTGTTGCCTTGCAGCTCCTGCTGACCTCGTGCCGGCACTGCTCCTCGGGGGTCCTTCCCAACGAGAGGATCAGGAACATTGGCATCTCCGCTCACATCGACTCCGGCAAGACCACGCTGACGGAGCGGATCCTGTTCTACACGGGCAGGATCGCGCAGATGCACGAGGTTGGGCTGAGCTCCCATCGGGATGTTCCTGCCTCTCACCTCCACACTGTGTTTTTGTGCATGAGGGAGGATGCTCAGTCCATGCAGCATCACCCCTACATGTGCATTCACAATATCATGGAACGGTTTGGGTGGAAAGAGAGCTTAAAGCTCACCCATCCCACCCCCTGCCCTGGGCAGGGACACCTTCCACAGATCAGGTTGCTCCAAGCAACCAGCCTGGCCTTGGACACTTCCAGGGATGGGATATGAATTCTTAGCAAACTCCTTGAGCTAAGTTTTTAATTTCTCCTAAGGTGAAAGGTAAGGATGGAGTTGGAGCTGTCATGGACTCCATGGAGCTGGAGCGACAGCGGGGCATCACCATCCAGTCTGCAGCCACTTACACCATGTGGAAGGACACCAACATCAACATCATCGACACGCCAGGTACGGGCAGCTGGCAGCCCCTGGGGATTGCTGTTCTCATGGATACAGGG